TATATACAGCTTTGCCAGTATTTCATTTCCTATGTTTTCCTTAGTACCTAATTTGGAATCTGTAACATATGTCTACCATTTTCATTGCTATAATGCTCTGGGAAACAGATAATTTCATCATATAAAAACTTTACAAAATTTAATTTAAGCTGCTTTTACCTATTACTGGATAAATCTAATCTTTTTTAAAGTCCTTCACAAGTTTATTGTTAAACAAGTATTTCATTTCCTATGTTTTCCTTAGTACCTAATTTGGAATCTGTAACATATGTCTACCATTTTCATTGCTATAATGCTCTGGGAAACAGATAATTTCATCATATAAAAACTTTACAAAATTTAATTTAAGCTGCTTTTACCTATTACTGGATAAATCTAATCTTTTTTAAAGTCCTTCACAAGTTTATTGTTAAACATTGTCCAACTATGCTAAAAATCTCTCCTTTTCATTATTTATATTCAGCCTTATTCTAAGATCCAGGAAAAGCTGATTTAAAAATAATTTTGAACTTTATTTACTAGTACTATCAAAAATTTGTTACCCATGATGGAGGCTGAATGACAATTCAATGACTTCACAAGGGATGGGTAAGACGAAAGGAGATGGACATCTACAAGGCAGTGATAAATTCATTATAAGGCAGAGAAAACTCTGTCCTTACTCCCTTAAAATTTTCACTTGCTACTCATAGTATGGCATCTGATAGCAAGTACCTGTAGTCAGTCTACAACATCAAGGCTATTTGGTGCAAACAAAAGATTAACAACTTATTAGTGGGAGGATATGAGAAGCAGCAGAAAGGAGAAAGGGCAGAGGAGAAAAAAAGGGATGAAGAAAATCTAGAAGCTTGAAATAATCCTGTACTTGCTAAATGGTTTCAAATTATTATCCTGATGATAGTGTACTTCCCAAGGAATGCCTTTTCACTGATGATCAGAAAGAGCTCCAGCCACCCTTAAGTTAACAGCTCATCAATTAACTGCTTCATTTGGGCAACTAATTTAATGAATGATGGCCCCTGTTCCTAGAATATGCAGGTATGAATATTAAATGCTGCTCACACAATATTAAAAGTGACTCACAGAGCTGGATTCACACTGATTCTATTTCCCTGACTTTGCTAAAACGTTATCCCAAGACATCAGTACTTAGCAACCACCATCAGCTGAATTATGTTCTGGTAAAGGAAATCATCTCCAATGCACTAAACCTTGAATTCTTCCCTCAAGATCATCCTAGAATCTGAATTCACTCAAACAAGGAAAGAATGAAACGAGCCGCAACACAAATATGTTTCTAGCCTGGGAAAAACTTACAGTTTAATGTTATAAATTACTCAGTCAACCACCACATCATGTATTTTTCATAACAAATGTATCATACCTCAGCAGTTCAGAATTAAATGCTAGTATATCACTGAAGTTATTCCCTCCTGCAGATATAAGCAACTCACTCATTGGTAGTATGATAAACAAGAAATCTTCACATAAATCCAAGTCCAGATTGCCAAGCGATGTGTCCTCAAGATGGCTAAAGCTTCGAGATGGCCTGGTCTGTACTTTTCACAGAATCA